AGAGCCAATTTAAAGGCATTAATTGACACAGTCAAAATTCTTTTAAGTCATATTTGACATTTAGAGCATTTTTGTAACAACTGAAGGGAACATAGTTATTTGATTGTTAAATAAAATTGTTTTTCCACTCAAATTTTCAACTTTGCAAACTCAGAAACTTCCTATTTTTTTCTAGAAATTTTGATATTAATTAACAAAAAATTCTTTCAAATTTTTAAGCTCAGAAAAGTCAGAGCTTTTCCTATTAATATTTTCAGATTAATCTAAAAATGTCAGTTTATATCTTTTTCCTTTTTTCTATCTTTAACAGTTCCAGTCAAACTCGTAATTAATCGTTTTGGGGATGCTGGAGCTTTGATAACGCTTCCATCCTGTTGTACCTCCAGATTGTCACACTGGTTTTCTACCTGTTGGCCTTGCTGGTCATCCTGCTGAGGTTCTGGTCTTACATCGACTGTTTTATTTACTTGTGAACCCAGAAGAGAGACGCACATGAACCGGCGCCTCCACGCAGGTCAGGCGGCGCTGTTTCAATGCCCTTTACTGACATCCTGTGGTTAAATCACGCTACTACAGTTTGCTTTCAGACTGCGGCTGTTGGATGAAAGAAAAACTAATAAAAGCTCAACGCAAAGTCATAATTTCGACTTTCAGGATCAATTAAATTTCCCTTTGGGATTAATAAAGTATTCTTGAATTTTAATTTGAATAATTGTGACTGATTCTCTAAGGCGGCATAATCATGACTAAATCATAATTGTTCATGAGAATCTCAAAATTATGACTTTAAGTGTCATAAATATGACTTAGGACATCAGAACTATGACTTTGTATCGCTTAATTATTAATTAATATCTGAGAATTATGACTGAATATGATCATTTTGATTGTGAATATGACAATTATAAATTTAAAGCAAAGTAATTGGAACCTTAAATCTCATAATTATGACTTAGAAAATCAAAATTATCTCAAAATTATGTCTGGATCTTATAGTTATGATTTTGAAAGTTTAAATTATGACTTTTATTTTTTCTTCCTGAGATCTTAATACTTAATATTTATAATTGCCCTAACACCATGCAGGTATGGCTTGAAATAATTTACTTTTTTATTTATGTATTTTTTTTTTTTTCAGAAGAACACGGAGAACCAGAGCTGTCCTTCCTCCGGTTCTCCTCTCTCTTCATCATCCTCCTCCTCGCCTCTGGTCCGGGTTCTTGGTGGATCCAGTTTCTGTGTCTCGGCTGCAGCAGGATCAGAAAAATGAGGCTCTTTTGCTTCATTCATGATCATTTTTAAAACCCAGAGTGCCACAGGAAGTTATTTTCTTTATCGTCGTAGCTGTTTTGATTTGCTGCAAACTGCAGATTGTTTCTTGTTTTGCTCCAAACTTTGGTTTTGGTATAAAACTCTCAGTACATTTTTGGGGTTTTTTTTACTAGCTTGTGTTGCTGGATGGAGACTTTAGAGCAAATTTGGAGCAGATTTGCTCGTTTTTAAACGTGTTTTTGTAGATTTTGTGGGGTTAAAACATAAAGTCACGCGTTTCTAATCACAGAATGTTTTAAAATATAAAGACAAATCCCATCATAACATGTCTCTGATGTCATTTATCCACGCAAAGTTTTAGAAACGAAGGTTCTGCAACGGTTGGAGGCTGTAGCTTCCGGCGTGGGCGGCACGCCTTCAAAATAAAAGCATTGAAATTTAGCCTCGTATGTTTAAATAGTAAAACCAGGGTTTATACTTGACAGTATGTCAGAATATTTTAGTTCCTGTGTGGAAAATAATCTGGACAAACTTTTACAACTTTCCAATTCAAAGGAGCAATAGTAATGTTTTTAGATTGAATTTGTATGAGAGGTGATGTTTTTCAGAGACTTCCTGGAGATAAATCACTGATTTATCTTTGTTTTCTTAATATTTTAAAGAATAACACATGGTTTATTTAATATAAGTTTGGGGTCAAAAATTATTTTTGAATTTAATTGAATGGCCTTAAGAAGTAGCAGAATACATAAAATCACTAAATTTGACATTATTTTTGTTTCATAGAGCTCTTTTTTAATAGCTGCTCTCTCAGTTGTTGCCAGGATCAAATATTTAAACCAAAATTAGGAAAACTTCTCTCAAATTTCAGGACTAATTTTTTCTATTTTTGCTGGCTTCAACAATGCGTGAGGTGGTCGTTTGTTTATTTTTTTACAATAGGAGGCAAAAATAAATTCAGGCATCCAAATATTTTTAAAATAAAACCAGAAAATAATTTTATTCTAAAAAATGTTTTATCTTTGAACCAAGAAAACATTTAATGTTTTTGTAGCTGATCCCCAGTACTTGAATTAAAAAACAGTCGGTCTCGACAGGTGATATTGGCTTTATTTCTCCTTTGATGATTTTGCTGGATCATCGTCAGGTCACTTGACTTCAAAACCTCCATCATCATCACCATCATCATCACCATCACCGTGAAAACTAAACAAATACAAATATTAAAATACAACACAAATCAACAATACAACAACACACAAAAACGTACCTCGCTGCCTTTACTGGGGAACGCCATTTCTTAGTCCAACGTTTGACAGTTCATTTGGTTCACTGCAATTCCCCAGTTTTATAGGCCCTGCCCTCTTTCTCTACGGCAGCCCGTGAGGTACGTATTAAAAAAAAAATCCCAAGACATTACAAAATACCATTAAACCAAATAAATCACCAACAATGCAAACCAAAACAGACAAACATACATAAACAATCTGCAACAGTCTTAAATTAGAAATTCATTTAAATTGTTTAATTTAAATAAACTACAAATAATTTAGACATTTCATTTTACAATCCGTTACACTCCCACCAATAATGCATGAACCATTACTAAAATTATGCATTATTTAAAAGGTTTTTTTTTTTAAAAATCATGCAGATTGTTTAAAAACATGCTCGTCTGTGTACATTAAGTTTACAAATCGTTTTCTAATAACACCACCAATTTTGCACCGGTCTTTCTATTACTGAACTCTTAGAAATAATATCCCTACCTGATCTTTGTTCTCCTGTCCTCAATTTTACTTTTCGAACCAAGCCATCGCTATCAACAATTGTTTCAACAACACGACCCAACTGCCACCTATTTCTTGGGAGAAAATCCCTTTACTATTACAATATCATTTATTTTTAAATTGCGCCGAACTACATGCCATTTTTGTCTAATGGAAATATTCTGGAGGTATTCTCTCTTCCACCGACTCCAAAACTGCTCAACCAGAAACTGCACACGGCGCCAACGTTTTGAGGAATAGATATCCTCCCTCACAAATTTCCCTACAGGAGGCAAGGCAGACTCAGACTTCATCTGAAGCAGATGGTTAGGAGTTAAAGGTTCAAGAGAACCAGGGTCATTCATTCCCTTCAGTGTTAAAGGACGACTATTAATTATGGCCATGGCTTCATAAAAGAAAGTTTAATGAAGCATCATCAAGTTTTCCCAAGTTTTGTGATAGAGTAAAAGCTAATACATTTCGAATGGTTCGTATCTGACGCTCCCAAACACCACCAGCATGACTTGCTGATGGTGCATTAAAAATGAACTCACATTGATTTTCTGCCAGGAAAGACTCCAAATGTTTAGGACCACATTGTTTAAACTCATTTTGGGCTCCTACAAAATTTCTTCCTTGATCACAATATATCTGGCGAACGGCTCCTCTCAAACTAATGAAACAGCGCAGGCCATTAATAAAAGAATCTGTGGACAAATCCTCCAACATTTCAATGTGAACAGCTCTTGAATAAAGGCAGGTGAACAACAACCCATACCTTTTGTATTCCTTACGATTTCTTTTAACAATAAAAGGACCAAAACAGTCCATTCCACAATAGGTAAATGGTGCAGATGCTTCCAAGCGTTCTTTTGGAAGCTCAGCCATAAGTTGTTCTTCCACTGGACGTCTGATCTTCCTGCACTGCACACATTTATGAATCATCTGAGCCACCAACCTGCTGCAGCCAATAATCCAAAACCCATTAAGCCGGACCTGCATTTGAGTTTGACCTCTGCCTTGATGACTTACTTGATTGTGACAGTAAGACAAAATAAGATGAGTAACATGGCTGTGTTTTGGCAAAATCAGTGGATATCTAAAATCTTCACTAAGAGGTGAATGTTTTAATCGTCCACCAACTCGCAGCAGTCCATCTTTTACAATAGGATTCAAATTGAACAAAGGGCTAGAACGGGGAAGGATGTCTCCCCTTTTAACAACCTCATCTCGGAGCCAAAAGCCTGTTCTTGTACAAGTTTCACCACTGATTTAACAGCATCTTCCCGTTCTTTAACACTCACCACGTTTGAATAGCATTTGTTGTGGCATCCAAGTCTTTTGATTCTGGCAACAACTTTAATCAATTTTGACCAAGATGAAAACTTAGTGAAACGTTCCAAAAAATCTGGAGTGTCATTAGCTGTAGGAACACTTATTAGACCATCCAAATCTCCTTGCTCCCACCATAAAAACCTCAGGTAACAGCGATGGTTAGACGTAACATAAAACTGGTGGAACATCCTTTCAATGTCACAAGTAATAGCCACAGCTTCTTTTCTGAAACGCAGGAGGATTCCAGTTAAAGAGTTGATCAAATCTGGACCAGTCAACAAAGTATCATTCAAAGAGATGCCACGAAATTTAGCTGAGCAGTCAAACACTACCCTTAACTTATCTGGTTTCTTTGAATGATACACCCCATGATGAGGCAAGTACCACACACAACCATCATTGGCATTTTCCTCAGAAACTAGTTCAGCATCTCCACAGTTAATGATAGACTCCATAAATGTTTTATAATGATTGTAGAACTGATCATTTCTCTTTAACCTTCTCCTCAGATGTTGTAAACGAACGGTAGCCAGCGTCTTATTGTTTGGCAACATAGGAAGGCAGGATGTTTAAATGGAAGGGGCATCTCCAAATGGCCATCATCTTTTTGTATAATGTTTTCGCTCAGAAGTCGTATGAACCGAATGTCATCTTGGGAAACACATTTTCCTTCTGAACCCTTTCATTAAAATCCAACTCCAAAGCTCTTAAAACATCAGAAGTTAATGGAGTGGGCATTTCTTTCACCATCACTCTGTGTACATATCTTTGGTTTCCTTGCCGATCTAAATGTGGATTAATTGCCCCAATAATACTCCAACCAAGAGCAGTCTTCTGAGCAAAAGGTTCATTTTCCCCACCAACAACAACTTCCAAGGGAGCCAAAGCAGAAGGACAGTCAAAACCAATAAGTAAACCTACTTCACAATTTTGCAAAGCAGGCATTTTGCCAGCTAGATGTTTAAGGTGAGGCCACTGTAATGCTGTACTTCTACTTGGTATGCAAGATGTATCAACAGGAATAAAGTCACGTGTATATGCTTGCCGCAACTGTATACAAGTATCAGAGAAAAAACTCCGAACCTGCAAGCCATACACATTTTGACTTGAAATGGGTGTATCAACAGAAACCATGGTACTAAGTTTTAACTGTACTGGTTTGGTTTCAACAATCAAGTTTCTCACAAGATCTTCTAAAACAAAGGAGGAGTCACTCTGAGTATCAAGGAGTGCATATGTAAGTATTTCCTTCCCAGGATCCTTCACAGAGGACAGGAAAACTGGAACAATACTTGATGTAGCAGAAATGTTTCGGATGAGTGCATGAGATAATACACTATGAGAAACCTGAGGTGTTTCTTCTGGAGTTATGGAACACTGCTGAGCAACATCATGAGATCTCACTCTCTCCTTGTGCAAACAAGTAGGATGATGCCGTCTACACTCCCCACAAACATGCCGCGTTTTACAATCTTTCAATAAATGACCTTTCCTTAAGCATCCAAAACAAAGATGGTTCTGATATATAAATGATCTTTTGTCTTCCATTGATTTAACTGCAAATTTAGGACATTTAGCAACACTGTGTGACATGTCTGCACAAACCAAGCAAGGCAGTTTAGATTTTAAACCATGAACACTTTCTTGTTTCTTAAACTCCGTACTGGTGTTAAGAACCTTTGCTTTCCTGGAAAGGTCATTTGAAGAAGTTCTAGACTTTAACAAAAATGGAGAAGCAACAGGGTTGCATACTATACGTGCTTCCTTTTGTATAAATCTAGAAAAACATTCAAAGGATGGATATTCTCCACATGCATCAAGTACTTCAACAACAACTCTACTCCATTTACGTACAACCCAGTCTGGTAACTTCTTCAACATCTTATGATTTTCTTCACAGTCATTTAAGATGGACAGTCCCTTTACTTGAGGCATAGCCTCTTCACAACCTTTCAAAAAGTCAGCAAAATCTCTGAGAGACAATGGATCGTTTGGTGCAATCTTTGGCCATGACATAAGTTTATCCCTAAATGCTTTCTGGATGACAAATGGGTTTCCATACCTATCTTGTAAAACTGACCAAGCACCTTCATATGCGTCCTCAGAGCTTCTGTAAAAGAAACCTTCTACAGCCTTTCGGGCTTCTCCTGAAAGATAACTTTTCAGATACAACATTTTTTCTCCAGCAGAGATGGATTTTGAATCAATTAAAGTCGTGAATGATATTTTAAAGTCCACAAATTTCAAAGGGTCACCAGAGAATATAGCAGGTTCAGGAACAGGAAGGCGACTTAAACTCAATGAGCTCGTTAAGGCTTCAGCCAAGTTCACTGCAGGAATCTCAGCACAAACATGAGGTGGTAGAATTGATGCAACCTTTGCAGCTTTATGACTTGGGTGTTTCAGTGTTTGCTCTGATTTAACCTCAGACTTAAAATCAAGATTTCCCTTTTCAACACCATCTTCAAGTCTGCTGTAAACAGCAACCCGAGCTGCAGCCATCTTAACTTCCATGTCTGTTTGCATTACCTTTAACTTGCTCTTCTCTTCATCAAGCTGCTGTAGCACTTCAGCTTCCTTCTGCTTCATTTCTGCCATAATCTGGGACTCATGACATTTCCAGTCACATTCAAGTTTACTGACTTTAGCATGCTGAGCTTCAATCTCCAACATTGATCTAACTTGAACCCTTTTGGCTGCAAGATCAGCTTCTGCCATTACACGCCCCTGAGAAACCTTGGAGCTAGTAATTGATGAACTGCAGGGAGAACTTTCAATAGACGCTTCTCCAAAAACAGATTGATATTCATCTCTATTTAAGACTTCTCTCACTCTTTCCTTTTCAACTTCTTGATTAAAGTTTTCCTCAACAATACCCCTTTCTAAACGCTTACACACAAGATCATAAATCTCATTTGTTAATATAGTACAGGCATCTAGTTTCTGCACAATATCTGGAGTATTTAAAAAATTACGTTGAAGAAACTCATAATTCTGTTTCACTTTATCAAGACTGTTCTGGACTTGCTTATTTATTTCATCCAGATTCTCCTCAGAGCAGAAACCCTTTAGCTTCTTCCTTGCTTCTCTTGCAGTTTGTTTCCAGGATGCATAAGACTTAAGAAATGCCTTTATCTGTTTTGCAGACTCTTCTTCTCTGTACTGCTCTCCCTTTTCAGTCAACTTTCTTGTGCGAGGACCTGAAACCAACTCTTGTCCCTTTGGCTTTTCTTCAGTTTTCACATCTTCAGCAGAAAGATCCATTTCATTTGGCAGTGACATCTTAACTCTAAGACCTTACAGTGAAATTAAACCCACATTCAAACTTAACATTTAATTACAAAACACCATTGTTTTTTTTTTTTTTTTTTTTTTTTTTTTAATAATTTTTTTCTTACATATGCTACTACCTTATAAATAATTCAGAATTTCATTTGACCCAATAGCGGTCTAAACTCAGTTCATAAATATCGAGCAGGTGCCGTTATTTCCGCGTTGATTGATCAGTCAATGTCTCACCGCTCCAGTGGTCATCTGTCAGATTCAGTTTTTGATACAAACTTGGATCCAGCGCGAAGACAGTTCCTCATTGTAGCGTTGATTCCGAGGAGCGACAAACTTCGGCGATGTCCGTACCAAACGTCTCACCGTCATTGGAAGGCGACACACGGAGACCTCGAGTTTTCACTGTAGCTGATCCCCAGTACTTGAATTAAAAAACAGTCGGTCTCGACAGGTGATATTGGCTTTATTTCTCCTTTGATGATTTTGCTGGATCATCGTCAGGTCACTTGACTTCAAAACCTCCATCATCATCACCATCATCATCACCATCACCGTGAAAACTAAACAAATACAAATATTAAAATACAACACAAATCAACAATACAACAACACACAAAAACGTACCTCGCTGCCTTTACTGGGGAACGCCATTTCTTAGTCCAACGTTTGACAGTTCATTGGTTCACTGCAATTCCCCAGTTTTATAGGCCCTGCCCTCTCTCTACGGCAGCCCGTGAGGTACGTATTAAAAAAAAAATCCCAAGACATTACAAAATACCATTAAACCAAATAAATCACCAACAATGCAAACCAAAACAGACAAACATACATAAACAATCTGCAACAGTCTTAAATTAGAAATTCATTTAAATTGTTTAATTTAAATAAACTACAAATAATTTAGACATTTCATTTTACAATCCGTTACAGTTTTAATTAAATGAAGCAGAAAAAATAATTTGAAGGTCTAAAGAAAAACGTAACATTTTCCTAACGATTTTGGGTTGAACGTTTTCTATTGTGTTTGATTACAAAATATTTTGCATTCATTTAAATCAGGGTTGCCCAAAGTGCAGCCCAGGGGCCATTTGTTGTCCTCGACGTGACTTTGTACGGTCCTCAACCACGACACAAAATGACACCAACAGGTTTGCCAGCTCAATGTTAAAACAAATCTTCATCACCTTAAAAAAAAAGAAACTAAAGTATTCTAAATATTAAAGTTCTCATCTTTTATTAATTAAATGTCATTGTGAGTTTAATAAACTCCACAATATAAAGCAAAAGTGACACATGTCCTTTTTATGTTGCTTTGAAAAACATCTATATATAATAGAAAAACCATTAACAGAACATTATTTGCTTTTTTTAAGTTTCTTTTAACAAAGGCGATATTAATTTCTTTTAAGTACTTTTAACTCGACGGCATAACAGAAAGTAGTAGCGTCAACAGAAATGCTTTTATTTTGAGATGACGTCACCGGATGAAGATGCAGAGCAGCCGCTAGCTTGACATAAAGTAGCTTAGGCTGAGCTGGCTGTTTGGTTGGGGCTGTTTTGACTCCGCTGGTTGTTCCACATCGACGTCCTTCTCTACGTGGAAGCTGGTCGCTCTCGTCGGGGAGGTTTCCACACCGAGGCGGGGGCTCAACACATCGACCTGCTTCAAGCAGAACCGATCAGAACAACCCAGAATCTGCTGAACTGACGCATGGACCCAGCCAGTCAAGGTAATTGTTAGCTTACCGAGCAAGTTAGCACAACTCAGCTCTCTGCCTGGCTAAAAAAACGGCGTAAACAAGTTGAGAGCAGCTCGGTTTTTCATCCAGAACGCTGTAATAAAACAAAAAACTGTTTCCTCCGTGTTGTTTTACTGTTGGACCGGGAAGTTCGGGAGGGTGTGGGGAGGACGGACGGGCCTCCGATCCGTGACAGGAACAGCAACAGCAGGTGGAGAGAAAGGAGGAGGATCGAGTTACTGATGCTGGCAGCTGCCCTGCACTGATTTCACTGACTATCAGCTGATTCCACCAGTTTTAACCACCTGAGTCACTGGTGTCCATTACTGCAACACATCCGCTTGTTTCAGCCTCTAAATCTCGTTAAATGAGTGAATGAAGCTGAGAGCAGGTGCTGCTGTGTGGAGAGGAGGAAACTTCCTTTCTGCTGTGTCATTAACTCCAACTACAATACTTGACTGTAGGTCACATTTTCAATCAGCTCAGCATCTTATTTTAGCATTACAGAAATGTTCCTGTGCGTATTCTACATGATCGAGCTGTTTACCTGAACTCTGAGCTTTTTAAAAAAGCTCCCAGCATGTTCCATGAACAAAGCGGCGACTTTACGTTCTGCTCTCTCTCACCGTTTTACAGCCTTTTCTCTCATTGTCGTAGAAAATCAACTTTCTCTTAAAGGTCAGCTCTTATGTCGCCTTCGTTCTTCTGACTTTAACTCCTCATTGATACTGAAAATAGCTCACTTTGGCTCAATAGTAACACCTGAAAGTGGTTTCCATTGTTTGCATCCACGGATTGTAAAAATGTTTTTCCAGTAGAAATTGGGTACATTGGTAATAAAGATAAAAATCCAAACAATATAAGCAGCATAGAGAGAAGAATAATACTTTTGTCTGTCCCTAGAAGCAATTCTGATATTTAAAATTGAGGCGTTTACAGTGGATCTCTGCCTGTTTGTGTTTCATTATCTTGCAGAGTTTTCTGTGGAGTGTAATTCCATTTTATTTGTTCAACATGTGATTTTTCTCATATCGCATATCTAAAATATTAGAAACGCCACTAAGAAAGTTGACGGGCTCTCGGCTGGCGATATAAATAGGATGTCTTCTTTATTTGTTACTTTCAGAGTGTTGTTGTATGTAACTATTGTTTCATGGTTTTTTTTTTACAATTGGGAATAGCTGGTTAGCATTAAAAAAACTTTCATTTCTAAAGAAAGTTTAATGCTGGAACTGGAAAACATTTAAAATATCCTAAATAAATTCATAAAACAATAATTGTTAAGATGGATTATGAAGCCTCTGTAACCAAAGATGCATTTCAGAAAATTTCACAATGAAAACAGGCCAACGTTTAGAACTTGTCGGAGAAAAAAGTGAAAGCTAACTACTTTGCTGCAAATACCAGGTGTCAAATGTTTTGTGTTTTTGCTTGTTTTTCTCAAAATCCAGATTTTTCAACAAAAAAAGTAATGCAATTGATTGATTTATTGCTTATTGTGACAGGGTAAAGCATATTCCCTACTCCCACATCCCTCAGACAGATTAAAGAGGGCTGGCAAAAAGATAAGGAGGTGGATTAGTAGAGCTAGCTAATAACTGATAGTGGCATCCAGATGTTGCTGTTGAGTATCGTCTCTGCTTCGATAGAGCAACAGTCTTCAGTCAGAGGCTTCTTCTGATTCGTTGGATGACTGGTTGCTACTGGAGCATAAAAAACAGAACGTGGAAGAACGTGGCGTTCAGTGGGTGTGGAGGATGACCTCACTTGCGTCATACCTCAGAGTTTGCAGACAGGTTAGTCTGCTGCCAAACAAGTTCACCTATTTACAGATTTAGCATAAATTTAACTGGTCAGCTTACTGGAACAAAAAGGAAATTGTTAAAACTATGGGTTTTAATGTTCCTGGATCCGTGTACCTCTGTGTTTTCACTTTAATTTTTGTTTTTGTCGGGTTTTTTGCTGTCTGGGCTGGTGACGCCTGTGTACCTTACAGGTGGAGTCACTGTTTGCTGTCAAACTGTTAGATTACTGAGCTGTCTGCAGATAATCCTGTCATTTCCCAACCTCAGAAAATCTCCAGCTGGTTTAGCCTCGACACAATAAATCAATTGATCTCAAGATAAATTAAAAGAAGCTCAAACGTGTCCATTTGTAGGATTTCTGCCTAAAATTGAATGATAAAAGTCTTCACTTTGTTGTTTTGGTCTCAGCCAGCCTGTTTTGAGACTATTATTTCATTTTATTTGATGTTTCTGTTGTTTTTGTTTATTTATATAGAATATTTAAAATGTCTTCCAGTTCCACTGTTAAATGTTCATTAGAATTTATAGTTCTTGCATTATTATTGTGCCACTACCATTTACATGACTTGAAAATGGTCTTAAAACTCTTAAAACAAGAACTATGATTTAAAACAACAATATTATCATTTATCGGAGTAACATCTGAAACTCTAACTCTCATTGGATTTGTTGAAGAACTTTAATTAATGGCCACCATTTTCCCAGAATCTCTAGTTCAGTCTTCTTGTTTTTATGTTACATTAACATTTGGTTGTGTTGTGCAGATTGCAGCTGCCTGAAGCCCATTTTGATGTCGTTTTACGTTTATTGGAGACGTATGTTCTCCTTTCTGACTCAGTCAAAGCTGCTAACATTAGTCTTCAGGTAAATAACTCGACACTTATTCAGTTTTGTAGAGCAGCTATCAGACCTGCATGCTTGCACTGCAGGAATCCTGGACTCAGTTATTTAAGGTTAAGGAATCCTAATCAGTACACACTTACAGTTTCAAGCTCTTAATTAATAAAGAATTAATTTGTTCATTAAGGATTCAACTAGCGATTACTCTAGTAAATAATTAATCTGTCGATTATTCTGATGATTAATCGATTCATCAGATTTTTCATTTAACCACAGAAGCCTTTTCATGCAGTATATTTGAAGATTAAAATAAACTAATTCAATTCCTTTCCTAATTAAGAAAATAACATTTTAGCTTGTTTGAACCAGTGAAGCTAAAACTGCCACTTGAGGAGTTTTGGCTCAAATATATTTACAGACAAAGGTATTTTTATCAAAAATGCAAAATGTATATATATTTTGTTTAATTAATCCTCTGAAATGACTTATTTTTAGCTGCGTAAACCACTTAATGATTAATCAATTTAGTTGACGATTATTTCGTAATATTTGTATATAATACTTATTATATATTTTTATTTAATCCAGATATGTCTCATTAAGATTAAAGATTTCTCACCAAGACTGGCAGCAACATACAATTACAACTCAAAACTATGGATATCAACACCTGATTAAAATACAAAACAATAAAATAAAAATAACATCAATGCAAAAATAGGACTAAAATACATCATTATATTAATCAAAGCATTTAAAAAATACCTTATTTACAGACTGATTAAGAGTGGCCTTAAAAACATGAATAGAGAGCATTTCCTTCAACTGTGAGTTAAATCAGTAATCAATTAATCACGATTAATTGTTTCAGCAGTAATGTAAACTCCTCTCTTAATGTAGTTTCCTTATAAATGTGAATGAAGAACATCTGGATCCTTTAAATTTTACTCTCTCTGTAATGTTTTCTAATCTTTTTTCCATCATCCATTGCTGCAGATATCAACCTGAACTCTCCTAACAAAGCAACAGCATGGATCGCTCAGACAACATGGATCGCTCAGACAACATGGCCGACGTTCAGGCGGAGGGCGCGATGGCGAACTCGGCGCTCCCTCTCCCGCCCGGCCTGACAGAGGAAGAGGCCGAGGAGCTCCGCCTCGAACTGACGAAGGTCAGGGACCAATTACCACAATGGTGCCCAAAGTAGGGGTCGCGGGCCACTTGTGGCCCCCTGACCACAATTCAAGAGCAAAAAAGGACAAAACTGCAAGTTTTAAATTAGAATCTGCTTAGAGAAATAGAAGATGTAACACAAATGATCATCTTTTCCAAGTTTCTGGTTTCCTTTTGCTTTTATGGAAAATAAGATAATTAATCAGATTAATCGTAATGAATCGATTACTGAAATGATTGTCTACTAATTTAGTAAATAGTTAACTGCATTATACCAACTGTAAAATATGTATTTGCTGAAAAAATAACATCCTCAGCGCGATGAGTAAACTGTACAAAAATATAAACATTTTGCATTTAAAAACAAAAACAACTTGTGTTTGTAAGTAAAGTAGCATAGTTTTAGCTTCACCAGTTTCTCCTGCTAAGTACGTTTTGCTATCCTATTATTTTTTTGATTATTTGAAAAGATAATCAACAGATTAGTCTTCCACTGCCATTTAAATATATTTTTGGTATTTATTCAGCTGTTATTGTCAACTAATTTAGTAATTAATTGCTCATTAATGGAGTATACTATCTTTTAAATATGCCATTTGATGAAAAAACAAGGGCTAAGTAATTAAACAAAACAAACTCTCCCATTAATCTCCTTCTGCTGATATTAGAGTCAAGCAGAAAAGGTGCATCTTTTCACATGTTGATGCTAGAAATATTAAATATCAAACAAATATTAGGTATGCTTGTGGACTAATGAATACCATGGTATTCATTAATGAATACCATGGTATTAAATTCTTTTATTATTTTAAAAAAAGGAATCAAATTCTTTGTTTTGCATCTTTTAATGAATTTTTAATGTTTAAATTAAAGATGTGCAAAATGTGAAATTTTGTTTTATCCGGTTGTCAAAATAATGGATAGACTAATCGATTACTCAAATAATCATTAGTTGCAGCCCCAGTTATGAGTGTTGGGGTTAATTAATGTCTAAAAGCCTTTTTGGCTAAAATTCAACATTATTTCCACAATCTGATCCACAGCACAGCAGGTTCTGGTTCTGGTGAAAATCTGTAACGTTTAAAAGAAGTTCAGTCAAAGTGGTTTTTAGGGTTTAGTGTCTGGGGTACCCCAAGGTTCAATCTTAGGACCCCTTTTATTTAATATTTATATTCTCCCACTAGCTCAGGTCATAACAGGAAATAATATTAGCTACCATAACTATGCAGATGACACACAGCTCTACATTACGATGTCACCAGGTGACAATACATGAAAGATCTGCTGTTGTTGTATCAACCTTCCAGACTCTCAGGTCTTCTGGTTCTGGTCTGCTCTGCATCCAGAACCAGAATCAAGACAGGAGAGCAGCTTTCAGCATCTATGCACCAAAAATTTGGAACAAACTTCCAGAAAACTGTAAAACAGCGGAAACCCTGACTTCCTTTAAATCGCAATTAAAAACACACTGTTTAGAATTGTTTTTGAAATGTAATATGTAACAATGTATTGTCTATTATATGTTTCATGACTTTATGTTCTTGTGTTTTTGATGTAAAGCACTTTGAAATTCCTTGCTGAAATGTGCTATACAAATAAAATTTGATTTGATTGATTGGTTCTAAGAGAGGAGCTGCTGCAGGCTGAACTGTGCGGTTCTGATTCAGGTGGAGGAGGAGATCAACACGCTGCGCCAGGTTCTGTCCGCTAAAGAGAGGCACTCCTCGGAGCTGAAGAGGAAACTGGGCCTCAGTCCGCTCAACGAGCTCAAGCAGAACATCACCAAGAGCTGGCAGGACGTCCAGACCTCACAAGCGTACGTACCAGTAAACCGGTCACCTCTCTGGTTCTGGTCCCACAGGGTTCAGCGCATAAACCCAGAAAGTATTTGTGTTGTTTGCAGAAGGATCATTTGAATCCCTACCTCTCCTTTAAACAGGATTTCCTCTCGAGAATAAAAGCGCTGAAGTTATTTCAGTATGAGAATATTGCTTTTCAGCATTTATTATTTTCCTGGAAAATTTTTTTTATGTATTAAAGTTGAAACCTTTGACTTCCTGTGCAGCTGTTGGAGAATATTTCTGCACTATTACAGTCTGGCTCCATGGTCTTAAGCCAATTTGGAGAACTAGAATTGTTGCCTAATTTATTTTACGAGTTCTGAAGTTATATTTTTCACCCTGGACATTAATGATGTTGCTAAAAATACTGAAGGTCAGACAGAGTTGGAAGCACAGATTAGCAAGAGATTAAAGATGACGACAGGCATATATCACAATTATAGTGTCATTGCAATATTTCTCAATATTATTGTTGTTGTTGCAGTACTTACCAATATTGTCAGCTCAATATTCACCAGTATTTTTAAATTTTATTGCCATAGCAATATCTTTCAATAATATTGATATTGCAAATTTCCCAACATTATCATTCTCACAATATTTCCCGATATTATTGCCATCGCAATATTTTCCAACATTCTAGTCATGCAATAATTCCCAACATATTGGGAATTATCATTGGGATATTATTATAGCAATATTTCTCAATGTATGGAAAATCACATAATTTTCCAATATTATCTCCATTGCAAGATTTTCTTATCTGTTGTTTATCATCTAGATGCATTTGGATAAACAATGTTAGTTAATCTTCACTCTTTGGAAATATTGCCGACATCTTTCAGATGAGTTCAGACTAAAGATTTGACCCCGTACGCTTTAACTCCTTCTGTCGAAAGTCGATTTGCATCGTTTCGGACTTGAACTGTTCGTGGCGACGCAGCTTTAGCTTAGCTGTGGCCCCCTGCTGGACGTCGGCGGCGTAACACGCTCCCGTTTCTGTTTCTAGCTACATGAGAACCACAGAGAAACTGGGCGAGTGGAATGAAAGGGTGACCAGTTCAGATCTGTGAGTTTCACCAACTGTTTGCTGCTCGTCTGGGCGCCGCTGTTTGCTCTCTCACGCTCCGACTCACCCCCAGTGCCTCACTCCTCTCACCTCCTAACCATGTTTGCAATGGCTGCTGTTTAACACCGGGTGTTATAGAGTTGGTGTGGATTTGTTCGTTGACGTGAAGCCTCCACTATAACTGCTTCAATCTGCTGATTTTGTTTGTAAGAAAATGCAGCTTTAAGTGTGACAGTCTGACTTTGGATCTGCTCTTCTGATGATTCTCTTGAACATTTGGTTCGACTTGTATAACGAAAGTGAGATTCTTTCTTCTTACAGTTCTAATAATAGGTTCATATCCGACTCGTTTTTCACCCATTAATTCACCCATTAAGGCTCGATGTGCTGTGGTTCAGGAGCATCTCTGGACCCTTTAGTGTGAATCAGTTGTTTGTCTTGTTGTATCAGCAGATGACTTCCTGTCTCTGGATCAGCTGTTGGCTCTTCCTCTTAGATTGAAGGCATGTTTCCTTCTCTTTCCTCTCTGGACAAACTGGGGATATTTTCAGCTTCTGCCTCTCAGTTCTGGTTGCAGACGGTGTTTTTCCAATCTGATTGCGGCCTTTGAGTCATCACTGCGAGCGAAAATTTATTTCCCAATTTTAATGCATCCAACTGCAGTCAATCTGATTGCTCACGTTTTCCTCTAATTTGTTTGTTTTGCAGACGTTTGTTCATGAAGGTTTTGGTTGAGGTGTTGCGTGTTTGGACAGATATCCCCTTCGCTTTTGAGTGTTTTACTTTTGGAAAGTTATGGTTAGTAACTAAGGCAACTAGAAGCAGCTGATTAGCATCTCAGTAGCTCAGAGCTACAAACAGGAGCTCAAATCTCAGAGGACATGAAAAGGTTTTATGGATGCGAAGGGTAATGATGGGCAAAGATCAAATCCCCTACTCCAACATCTCTCAGATTTAAAGTAGCAAAAGTGAAGGTGGTGGATTAGCAGAGCTTCCCAACAACTGATGATGTCATACTGTTTAACATCATCTCTGCTGCCTGGAAATGGAGCTGTTAGCATATCATAGCACCACACTTCCATCAGAGGCTTCTTCAGAGACGTTGCAAGATTGACTGCTACTGAAAATCCTTTCAGAAAACAGCTTCACAATCCATGACGACTTTTCTGAGATACTTTGATGTTTTCAACTGAAGTATCCTTCATGTCTTACATTTTTTGTAAAAATATTATTTTCATTGTAATGCTCGGTAGAGTCAATGAGGACCTTTAAGCAAACAAGAAAAAAAACCAATGGTACCAGTTCTGGTTCTGTTGGCCGGACAAAGCTGAAGATCAAATTTTATTTCTTTTTTTCATGTTCAAACTCAAATAGAACCCAATTTAAGATGCTAAATGGCTTTTTCACTAGTTTTTTTTTTATTTTATTTTGGGTGTGGGGGGATTTCCTGCAGCATTTACAACAAACGGTCAGAATCTGCAGAATTTGAGGTCGGTTCTGGTCGGAGCTGAGACGCATTCTTCACGTCTCGGTGTGATTTATGCAAGGAGGGCGGCATAAAGGCGAGTTTGTCTTTAGGGAGTTACAGTGAGTGTTTGGACACCCTGTTTATCAGGACAGAGGAAAACCTTTGAGAGGCATGAAGGAGAACAGGACCATCTTAGCTTGATGCTAAAGTCCAAATGCTGCGTCATGTCCCAACTGAAAAACCTTTTTAAAAACAAAGGGTGTTCAAAGTGAGGCTTGGGGGCCATTTGTAGCCCTTGGACTGATTTTGTGCAACCAACAACTATTGAAATTAAAATTTACATTTCAAGCTTACTGGCTTCCTTGTTATGGCAACTTGAACCACATCTACTTCTTGACTGTAAACGCACCTTGGTGCACAAAAATCTTCAAATTAATCTATTCAAAGTCGGCTAAATACAGCAAGCGTTTTCAAATAAAGATAAAGATAAGCTGTTTGTTGTATTAACAATGAAGATCCATTTTTTAATGCCGAGAATAAATTAGATATTTATTCAGTTTTTATAATTTTAGCCCAGAATAAGCAAACTGGATGCCTTTCATTTAGCAAGAAAAAAATTGCAAACTTGATTTGAAGTTTTGAATTTACAATTCCACTCCTACAAAAAATGTTTATTTGTTTGATTAAAATAGTTTTGCTTATTGATGAGTAGGTAAAAACAGCAAAAAAAATTTAGTGATTTAAGTTTTAAAAATGTACTTTTCAGCTGATGGTTTTGCCAACTTGGTTTAAGTGTTGAGTTTATCTGCCTGACTTGCTAATGAACTGGATGGACCAGCTTTACTCTGGTAGACAGGATGTAGCTAACTGGTCCGGTCTCTGTTTTAACATGCAGCCACCAACACCAGCAGGTGATGGTGTTGGTGATGGTGGCTGCTCTTGCTCTGTGGTTGCACCCTGAAGCCAAGATGGCCGAGTTTTTTTTTGTTTGCTGTTGAGATAATTGTGGATTGTGTCTGTTTGGTGAAAAATGTAGGACAGGAGAAGCAGGCAGACATGAAGCTCTTTATTTAACACACACATACACACACACACACACACACACACACACCACACACACACACACACACACCACACACACACACACACACACACACCCACCCAGTGCAGGAAAATGTGTCTGTGTCTCTGACACATTGTTCCCCAGCGACCTCCCTCCCTTCCTCGCTGGTCCCAGTGACCAGACAGGACGCGCAGACTGGACTAACTGGGACGAGAGGAAAAGAATGCGAGATGCAGAATGACAGATGAGGAAGAGGAGGGAAATGTGGCTATGGAATGCCAAAAGAACCAAATAAAAACAGCAACGAGAAATTCACAGAGCACTCGTCATAAAAACTCTGTGATTAAATAGTTATTATTTATAGGGTTGAAAAGTAAGGACAAAATATCACAATTTTTTTCTTAATTCTCATGTTGTAGTTTAGGATTTTTATAACAACTGAGTGAAGAGATTAAAATAAGCAACTAATAAGTAGGGGTGCAAATGTAAAGAAAAATCACACTGCTACAACAGTTATTTTTTTAATTAAGAGAAGAAAGTTGTAGTATTAGTTGAAAATATTCACTATTACCAGAAGAATGTTGGAAAAAAGAAAAGCTTGGATAGAGGTATCAAGATCTGTTGTTGTTTGGTTCTTTTGTTGACATGGACTCTGGTTTGCACAATCGTTTCAAAGTCCTGCTGCAAAGGATGACTTGATGACTTGACTTAAAGACTTTCTTATTATTAAAACTGATGCCAAAGTATGACATGAAGATGCTCAACATTTTTCAGTTTAACTGTATGGAGTGCTACGTCATGCTCCTAACATTATGACTTTATTCCTGTATTAATTAATTCTAGCCTTATTCTGACGTCATCTTAGCGTTTTTCCGACATTATCCTGGTATTATTCAAACTTAGTTTTCCTGTTATGACTTGATTCTCTTATCACGAACTTGTCATGTTGCTACAAGTTTAGCCTTGTATTATTAGGACTTTTATCGTACGACTTTTTGTAATGTTACAAATTAATTCTCACATTCTGACTATATTCTTGTACTTTAAAAAAAACACCTTTTCTTGCCTTGATAAGATGTTTGTTGTATTTAAGTTCACATTTTCCTATCAGTTTGAAGTAAGTCTCGTCTTAACGTTTAGCAGCTTTTTGATCGCCTTCATGTTTTCTACCATGCGGTCTGACTCTAGCGGGTCGCGTTGGAGAGCACAGTGGAGTCTTCACATCTTCAGCACCCTAATAAGTCCAGCTCAGACGCTCATAAGCAACGTTCTCCCTTCCTCTGTTCAGACTGTTTTCTCTGAAACAATTACAGCACAGATCTGCCCAGTGTGACGCTGCTGTACTGTAAGCTGCATTGTGCTAATAGAGGTCAGAGCATACAGACTAGTCTTGTCCTTGCGTTACATCTGTATTTGGACCAGAACCAGAATCAAAGCGATGGTTTTTATGCCGTAAAAATGAGGCAGTAAATGGTGTTTTTGTTCTATTTTATCACTCCTCACTAACGAGTGAATAAGTTGGTGTTTTGATCTGCTACAGCATGAATCATTGGAGTATAAATGATTTTCCATCCTGCGTTTTCAGCCGTTCTGCTCCACGTTGTTATCTTTGCTCTCCCAGCTTCCTGAAACGTGGAGCTGGTCAAACCGCCTGTTTATTTATCACGCAGTCAAAGACCAGCAGTTATCTGAAGACAGAACGCTGATAGTATTCAGGAAAGAAGGAAAAATAGACAAAAACTTTATTACTCAGCAGTGAACGGTACTTAACTTTAAGGCTGAAACGATTACTCATGATTAATCGTTTATTCAAATAACAGTCAGCTAATTGTGAAACTTCAACTTTAGTAGAGCTGAAACATTGAAGGACTAATTGTAATTAAGCGATTATTCAAATAATCATCATAATTGTGAAAGATTAATTAATCTGAATCGATTAATCCAACTAATCGAATTGATCCAATTAATTGTGCTTAATTGAATATTGAAATAATCGTCCAGTAATTGTGAAACGAAATAACTTCAGATGGGCTGAAACAATCAACATTATCTGAATAATTGTGATTAATCGATTCTTCAACTGATTGTGTAAATAATTATGAATTATGAATTATGAAAAACTCATTGACTAAATGTGTTACTACTTGTGAAAGTAGTAACTTTAGTTGGGCTGAAACAATCACGTTAAGTCTGAGGAATGTGCCAAATTTTTTTCCAATTAATCATCAAGATAATTAATAAAACAATATTTTACCTTTTTTTTCCATGTTAAAAGAGTGGTGAAATATGATATCAGTTATGACAGTAATATTAATATTGGCCACCTGTACTGGCCCAAAGTTTCATATTGGTGCATCACATGTTGCATATTGAATGAAGAGATTAAAATAAGCAACTAATAAGTAGTTTTGATTTTTCAAGGCAGTGAGAAAAAAATGTGAAAATTTTGCTGTATCCTCAAATACTTCTTTGCTTTATTGGGAAATTAGATTTTTTTTGTTTTGTTTGTTATTTTTCAAGATTGAAACCGTTTTAAAATGGAGAGTAAAGTCATGGTGCCTTCACATACTTTGGTCTGCTAATGGGGTAAATAAATAAATGGTAGAAATTAATGAATGACTGTTAAAAGTTCTTAGGTATATATATAAATGTAGATCTATACCGAGAGTTTTTCAGGTTATTGTTTATTATGACTGTGTCTTCCCTTGTGTCATTATCCCGCTGTTGTGTCTTCAGATATCTGTCTGCCTCAGCCACTTGGATGACATTACCCACTCTGAAGCGTGAGTTAATTCTTTCTTTTTAGTTTTTGTTTGTGTTTGGCTGTGTAGATGAGCTAAGGTTTCTTTGAGTTTCATTTTGGGATCTTTTTTCTCCATTATTTCTCTGCTGTCCATGCTTTGTTTTCTGTTTCTATTTGGTCCAGTAGTTAGCTTGGGTTCACTCGGGTTCTGGTGTTGGAGGCCATGTTGCGCTTCGGGGATGGTGGACTCTAAATAACTAACATATCACTTTCATTTAGGCTGTTTATTAAGCTGCAGTTTGGCAGAATGCTGAAGGTTACTGAGGATGATGATGATGCTCAGATCTGGGGAATTAAGATTTAAACAAAACACTGAATCCAAGAGGATACATCTTGGATTATATTCCGACTCCGGTTTCCTGTAACCCAGCACAGTTTGTGACATTTTCTATCTAAAACTACATTGAAGTTCAGGCAATTATTAGACAAGTAAGTATCTTGACCCATCATATTTTTCCTAACTCAGAGTTGGATAAACTTGAATGGTTAATGGATTGAAAGTTCCAGCACGTTTGGTCAGCTGGTTTACAACTGTATGGCTGCAGGAAAAGACAAGTGTTTTGTTGTTGACTTACCGTCCAGAAACAACTTCCTGCATTCTTGTTAATTGTGTAGGAGTCTCCTCTTCTACTTTTCAAACATGTATGGTTGTATAATTACGCATCTGTTTGCAGCCATTTTCACCTGAGTGTAAACGTTGTTGAGTTGTGTAGGATAAAAAGTTTTGGTATTAGGTTGAGGTTCTTTTGCTTTGTTTGTTTTCTTTCTTTTTTTCCAAGAGTCACATTGTCAACAAATGAATGTTACTACTGCTAGAAACTACAAAGAAAAGACGATGCCTTCATCAGTATGAAGATGAAGGCGTGACATGGTTTTAATGAATAGTCATGTGAACAAACTTAATCACTTGTTATTCTAATTATCACAGGTTTATTAATGGAAACATTGCAATTGCTAAATTTAGTTTTTTTTTTTCCAACGTCAGCAGAATATCTACATTTGTAATGAAAATACTGTTAGCATGAGCTGTACTGCAGGCGTAAAGGACTGCTGGCATGAAATATTTAGGCTGTTCACCTGTCATTTATTTGTGTGAATAAACAGAAATCAATATTGAGCAATACTGATGTTTGTCATATCATGCAGATATAGCTTCACTCTTTACTTTGTGCAATTTCATGAGTAACTGAGGTTATCCTCCCATCAACCAATTTCTCTGTTTGGCTTTTAATCCCAGATTGGAAGGTGAAATATTTTTCTGAATTTTGTATTTTGCTGCTCATTGAATTAATCAGAAAAGAGAACTCAGTTTTTTTACTAAACATGTAGCTCAACATCTTATTGTTTGTTTTTATCATCCAAGTTATTTGAACTGCCTTGTTGCTGAAATGTTCTATACTAATAAAACTTACTTTGCTTGACTTGAGTTCAGTAAAAATCAGATAAATTTCGGTGCATGTCCACTGCGATGCATAAAACAGGAAGATCTTGTGGATGAAAAACTACCCTCATTGCTGAACCACAGCAGCTTTTTTCCTTTATTCATATTTTAGTTGTTGAACTAAAGCAAAGTTTGGTTGCATTATGCTAATACTTGGTATTGTCATGCTTTGATGCTTTGCATGTTTAACCAGTTTGATGGACTCTTAACTTCCATAATCACTACTGATTAATATTTGTAGTAGCTGCAAAACTGAAGCTGACAATAAATATTGAGTTAGAAATAAGGCTACTGCTTCATATTTCAGCAGTTCAGCAACTGTTGTTTTTCTTTTTCAAAAAGAAAATGTTCATGGATTTTAGAAAAGAAACTAATAAAATTGTCAAAATGGCACATAAACTATTTTTTTAATGTATGTTGCCCATTAAGCTTCCACATCCTGTTTCCTTATTTTGCTTCATTCTCCCGTCAGCCATGTTGCTATTAGTTTTTCCTTGGTTTCCACACTCCGGCTCCAACTTGTTTGTTCATCCTCGCTGTTCTCTCTTTCTGCAGATACAAGAAGACCCAGGAGACTCTTTCTGAGGCGGGACAGAAGACGAGCGCCGCTCTCAACACGCTGGGCACGGCCATCAGCAGGAGGCTGGGCGACATGAGGTACAAACGCACACAAAATGGCCGACATGGCCTGACCTGCTGGCGGAAAATTTACAGAAAATGTAAAAAATTCAAGAAACAATTATGGGTGACGAACGTTTCAGGATATAAATGTTTCTTTTCAGTCCATTGATAATTATTGATGAATATCTGAAATACATCCGACCTTGAGGAGTGACCTCTCCTGTTTTCACTCCAAGCCGTTGGGTTTTTTTATTTTTATTTTTAAGCAGTTAAGAGGCGAAACTTTAAACTGCTGCTGTGGCCGTTACCCAGCAGGTTGTTGCTAGTGGGTTAGTTAATTGTGCTCACTTTGGTTGAACAGAAAAGGTGTTTCCTCTGCTTACATCTGTGAATATTACTGAATATTCTACTGGATGTGTTTTTGATACAGCAGCAAAAGTTCCTGCAATCCAAGATGAAACCCAACAAACACAGTCGAGTCGACGGCAACAAAACTGGAACATTTTTCACGTTCCACTCGATTTTCCTTTGAATGGTCAGATATCGATTCATAAAAACCTTAAATGGATTCTTCTAATCCGTTTTTAACGCATTAACACCATGAGACTTTTCGAATCAAAATGGCGGAAGCATTAAAAGCACCGCACCAAACCTTAAGGAAGATTTCTGGAAATATTTTGGATTTTAAATAGGAAGATGATAATTAATTTATTTGTCTAGTAATTGTCACTTGTGAGTGACAATTAATAGATGGTAACATTTTTCTGAGCTTTTCTGGCACCTGTTCAATACCTGTTCAGTTGGGCAAAAGCTTCAATAAGGAAATTTCACCCTAAAACTGAATATTTCAAATTTTTTTCCTGTGTTCCCACCCGAGCGTCCAGCCAGACTCTTCATCTCTGTTTCTAACATTCGTTGTTGCTGCATGCCTGGATGGATAATTCAGATAGTTTTTGTTCTGCATGAAACTCTAAAGTCTGGGGTGTCCAAAGTGCGGTTCAAGGGCCATTTGCAGCACCGAGACTGATTTTGTGTGGTCCTTGAATGACATAAGTTTGTCCCACCAACGCTAACAGAGGTTTGTTTTGTTTAATAATTATAAAACAAACTCACAAATTAAAAGTATTTGTTTCAGCACAAACTGTTTGTTTCTTTTATTTCAGGGTAATATGATGATGCTTATCCAGTATTGCACTCAAATCTGGCTTTATTAAATATTTTTCAAATAAAAAGTGACTAAAAGATGTTTTGATTACTGAGGATACACAAAATCTTTTTCAGTTTTCTTCAGTAAAAATAAATTTAGTAAAATGTTTTTAGTTTTTCTATTAAGGAAAACATGTGAAAGCATTTTGAAGTTGGATTCCTATTGGCTATTTTCCTTGTTTTTTATGCTCAGTTTATTTATGACTTGACCATGCGATAAAAAGTTTGGACGCCCCTGCTTTCTAAGTGTTTCTGTTGTGAAATATTTAAATTAGCAGAGTTTTTAATGTTTTAGAGTGAAATGAGAAGCAGAAGTTGTTTGGTTTCTCCTCCCTGTTGTGTCATGTTCACTTCACTTCTGTCTTGTTTTTTATTTTATTTTTTTATCTCACCGAACCGGTTCTGGTGTGAAACCGCGGCTGGTGTTTACTTAAAACCAGCAGCGACTTGCAGATCTGAACCGTTCTTATCAGAAAACAGCAGCCAACATGTTTAAAATATTTAAATATTTGCTGTGGTTTTCCTTCATTTTAGTCAGAAAAACAGTTTAATTCAAGATTTTACTGATTCTGGGTCTGCAGCATTCCACTTCTGCTCTCTGATCTGCATGCTGTTCCTTTTTCTGCTGTTTCTTCCGTTTTTTGTCCCGTTCTGGTTTCTGTTGCCTCACGTTGTCGTCTTTTTTTTGTTTTTGTTTTTATTGCTGCCCCGGTTCGATTGCAGAGCTCTGCCTTTCTCTAACTCCTTTAGGTAAGGATAATGGTTGAGATCAGGATATTATTTAAAGTTGGAGGCATTTTAATCTCTGTGTTGCTCTTTGCTTCGCTGTGTAACTCTTGGATTTTCTCCTTCCATTAATGCTTTCAAAGTAGCAACTATTCCATTCGCCACTCCATAAGTATGCCCGCCATGAGGTAAAGTAACCGATGAGCTCCTCCTGATGTTTACAGCGTCTTTTATTAATCACCAAACTTGTTTCCTCTAATAGAGATTATATTAGATATTTGGATATTTAGTATTTAGTTATTTTATTTTCTGTGTTATTTTTTTCACATTTGGGATTTTAATCAATTAATTTAGATATAGTTTTGATATTATGTTTTATCATTTATTATTTTATCAAATATATTGTACTTGCAATTAATTCAAACAAATTTTATTTTATTTCCATTTAATTATGAATTATTTTAATTTTTATATATTTTCTCAATCTTTCAGTACGACAGTGATTCTTATATTTTATTTATATTTAATATTTTATTTATTGTATTTATATTTCTGAATAATAAGATATTATATCTGTTATGCCTCTTAGGAAATAAAAGCTATAATATATACTGTAACATTTAAAATATGATTTTACATATTTTTGCAGCACAAATGTAAAGGTGTATTTCCTATAAAAGCATTTAATCTTGAGGAACATTTTATTTCTGCTGTTATTTGTTTTACATTTTCCTGGTATATGTTTCAGCTTGATAATTGAATATTTATTATAATATCAAACTTGATATTTCTAATTAATTTCATGTTTTTGCTCTTTAGAAACTCTCCAACCTTCAAGTCGTTTGAGGACAAAGTGGGAAACCTGAAGGCAAGTAAAAAAATTTACGACAAACATTAAGAGCTTGAAATGTTTTTTTTTTCTTAACAGGTATTTTTATATATTTTGCTTGTTTTTATGCTAAAAGTCAATAAAAAATTGTTTTCAGCCAATTTTTCATGGTGATATGAACAGGTTTTAGTGGCTACCACTAACTACAAGTTATGGTATGTTGGTTGACCTTTCATGACCTCCGGAAACACTTACATTATAAAATCTTTAGAATGGTGGCAGCACAAATCAAAATTTTTGCAGCACAAAACACCAGTTTTGTCAAAACTGTAAAATGTTTGTTTTACACCAGGTCAACCAGAGGCTAGTTGACCTTTCATGACCTCTGGAAACTTAGTAATATACTTGAAATATTTGCAGCACAAACATTTGACCCATTTTTTTTTTAATTGGAGCTGGTTGACATTCTGACCTTTAAACTTTTATTAATATCTTCAAAGCAATAGACAAACAAACGTAGCGGAGTTGGCTGACACAAATTTTTAGAATTGAAGAAGAGTGAGCGGCTGGTTGACCTTTCATAACCTTTGGGAACTTTTATCAATGTGTTTAAAATTGGCGGCATAAAAAAATTGCATCACAAACATTTGATGCAGATTTTGTTAAATTTGAAAAAGGATGTAGGTCGGCCTTCACTCGGGTCTCTCCTCTGTCGCTGTAAACAGGAAGCAAAAAGTGCTGAGTCAGCAAACCGTCACAATCATTAAAAACTCGTCTGTTTCCTGTTCTTGTCTTCCTCCTTCCTGTTGGTGCTGCGCAGCATAAGGTGGTGGGACCCAGAGGGAACGGAGACTCCGTCAGCTCCCCGACCGACACCACCCCGACTCAGGAGAACCCGCCCTTCTGAACGCACCGCCTCCTCATCCTCGCTGCCATCTTCCTCACGACCTCAGACTGTACTGTTATGGAGCCCTGACCTCTGACCCCTTCAGCAACACTCTGCATTTTGTCCTACGATCTGTATATCCTGTTATCATCTCTGATTGAAATAATAATTTTGAGCCAGAAAGCAAAAAAAGAAACTAAAACATTTTGAGTTTTTCCTTCATTTTGAATGTCTGTGATCCTCACTGAAAGTTAAATACTTTCGCCTTTTCTGCTCTCACACCGTGAGCACATATTCTGTCTGTTTCCTCTTTCAACGCAGATGTTTGCTTCGCAGTTTGATTGAGAAAATCTTCGGCCTCAGCGTGTTTCTCACCTCACAAACCCTGCAAGCAGCCACATCACTCCTAAAAAAACTCACAAAATACACCCAAGATGTAAAAACTGCACCCATTTTGTATTATAAACTATTTTACACTGCTTTGCATAACGTTTTTACATAATTTTTATCAATATGTATAAATATATATGACTATATAATATCGTTGGTGGTAGTAATCAGGGTTGACAGCAGGAAACAAACACTAGTGGGTCAATTTTTCTCAGTTAGTTACACTAATCAAACCAAAGCAACTGGGAATAAAAATAAAAACTGGTTTTAATTTCAACATTTTCTCCATTAATCCAAACCTGGTTTGTTTCTGCTCGTCTCGTCTGCTCAGATTTCGCTGAAATAAGAGGAAAACTTTACAGGTTTTCTTCATTTTTGTGTCAATTTAGAAATATCTCACGCTGCTTTTTGTCAACTGGAATGTGAATGTACACAAGTTAGCCGCTGCTAGCAAAAACTAACTAAATTTAATGGCTAAAAAAATGCAGAAAATCTGTTTTTTTCTGAGCCTGATTAAAAGAAGGAATTCATTTTGTTTTGCTCAAACAAACTTTTATAAAATATTTTCCTGCAGCTTTTCTCTTCCCTTAAGTGAAACATAACTTCTCATCAAACTGCTTTAAGTCTATTTTCTTGTTACACTTAGTTTTTTTGGTAGATTATATTTTCTTTTTTGAGAATTTGTACGCCGTCAGCTGAAGTTGCCAATGTTTGAATTATCTGTTACAGAATTTTCTTTCCCAAATGAGAAAAAATTTGATTTAGTTGGACATTTTCTCTCTTTTTTCCCCACTGACTTAGATGATAGCTGAACCTTTTCTGCATTTATTTGTATTTTTTGGAGACGGCCAAACGAGAACGTTGTACCTTTATTTTTGTGTTTTGTTTTGGGTGCCAAGGGAAGTGCAGCTTTACTCACTTTGGGTCCTGGCTTTGTCTCTGACTGGAAAGTGATGAGATTTGGAAAATCATGCTGAAGTAATTAAAGATCTCTGGTTTTGTTGTATATGTGTAGAGATCAATAAAGCATTCCTTTAAATGAATTTTGGCTCCGTATTTTATGTTTTGTTTTTTTGTGTGTTTACTTTATCGATCTATTCTGCCTTGTTGAAGCACCATAACATAATTTCCAAACAAACTGAAGTTTAATTGAATTTACCTTGTAATTATGAGGGAACATATTCCTTATGGTTATTCAGATCTGGGTGAGTACATCTTTTAAATAGTAAGAAATAAATGTTATAAGATATTTGATATATATTTACCACCTTTTGTTGCCCTAGATTTGTTTTTTACATGCTTCAATTTCATTTGATTAATTTCTCCACAAGATGGCAGTAGTTGCAAAGTTATTTTGATTGGTATGGAGGACAAAAGCTGAACAGCTCCGGATATGACTCATGTTGCCTCGTCACTCAACCTGGGAATCATATTTTTAATGAATCTCATTCGTTGCTCTCCTGGCGCCGGAAGTTGAAATACAACAAGCATGATATGATATTGTATATCCTATGATATATTTATAAAATATGCTGTAAATTAGATTACAGTGCAATTAAGTTACACTTCTTATCCAATCGTAAATTGTATGACTAAATTAATGCTGAGAACTGTTTAAAATTTTCTTCAAAGTGTGATATCTGTGTCGCAAACGGTCTTTGTCTTATTGTTTTTGTAGAAACATGACAGAGTGAGCGCTCTTAGTTGCAAACTATCTTTGACGCATTTTATGCCGGTAACCATGTCAACAAGAATTTCGACAGTTAGGGAAAAGTTAACGGTTCATGAACAGAGAACACTAAATGTACTTTATGCGATTTGTGTCTTGGAAAACTTTCGTTTATTTGTGTGTTTATGTTTTTCTTTTTTTTTTTTTCAATTTTCTTTTTTAAACCAAGACAGGTAGGTCGAATAATGTGATTATCAACTTTTTAGCTTTGTTAGCTTAGCTGCATGTTAACGTTAATGTCTTTTTCACCAGCATTTAGTCAATGAAGGAATATTTGTTTAGCATGATATTCGTATATATAACTTGTCTCTGTTTTTTGACCACATTTAAAGATGAGTCAGAATCTACTGGAGCCATAGCCACCCAAATCAGCCTAACTCTTCTCAGTGAACAAGGTGAGCAACCACATGCTAATTAGCATCATTACAGAAAGTGTATGGAGGTTTCTCTGTCCCTGGTTCTGTTTTATGTTAATTTCACAACAAAACTAAAATATGTATTACTAAGAATTGTTATCAAATGATAATAAAGCATATTTCTGTCTGGACTGGACAGTTTGAAGAATAGGTACTGTAGCTGAACTCAATTTCCCTCATAACTTACTCCCTCTTGTTCTCCTAAATTAAATTAAAATTTTCAGAAATATGCCATTTTCATCACTTTGAGGTGATGATTAATATGAGTCAATTTAATTTTAAAGTTATACAAGTTAGAAGTTATAATTTTATCTCATATTATTACGTTTAAGTGTCTTTAAATAAAAAAGTAAGCCTGTATTTGACTTTTAGCTCATTTTTAAAATCTGCTTTTAATTGAAATAGTGAATTATAATGTATTACAGAGGCCCTCTATTCTTTTGCAATCTCTTGCAATATTGTATAAGTCAATTCATGCGGCATCACTAATACTGACAATCTTTCTATTATAACTCAAGGTTTTTGTAAGGTTTTTCCATGTATTTTAATATCTTATTTGTGAGATAGTTAAAGTTTCTAAATTTTTCTTTAGGATACAAATGGACCGCAAACTTATGTGTGAAACACAAAAGGAAAACAGGTCAAACATGGTCAAAGATATCATTCTGTCCCTTCTATGACATAAACACTAACTATCCGTAAGAAGGAAAAAATACATACAAATTATTTGAACTATTTGCGAGTTATTTTCACCGGGTAGTTAAGTCATCTGATAGGATGAAAAATTCCTGGCTGCGCCCCTGTACATATGGATATGGATGTCGCTGCTGTGATTGGCTGTGGGCGTGTGGAGCCATGATGTAACGGGGAGAAAGAAGATTTTTTTTTCTGCTTCCGTAGCCACGCCTCCGTTTGGTGACGTCACCCATTCCCCAGTATAAAAGTTCGACCACCCTGTGCGGCCTCAGAAAAGAAGCATCGTTAACATCCTCTCGGACCTTGGAGGGTTACATTTACCCAAAACCTTATTTCAAATGGGCCCCGTCGCCTAGCGTTTGCTCCCCCCATCCTCGCCGTCTGAGTTGATTTGGGTGCTACAGAACATCAGCACATCGTCTGGGCTAAGTAAAGGTGAGTTGTTTTTAGAAAATGGTGGAAAGGGCTTCGTTCCCCTCGGCGAGGCGAGCTAACGGCTGGAAGCGAGCGGCTAAGAATGACGTAAAACTGTTTTCTCCCTTTGCCGTTGCGGTACCCGTTGTTGTTTTTTAATAGTTAACGCATTTTTTAAATTCAGTTCTAACGCTCGCATCAAGCTGGGCTGTTTGGTGACAGACGGACAAAATGGTCACCGCAGGTTTCAGGGTTATTGTTGTTCTGATCCAGATAATTCAAGAAGCAGGAGCTAAATTTAAACGACCTCCGTGTGTTTTACAGGCTGAAACCGGTCAGAACCGGCTGCTGCCTTTTGTTTGTGTTGAATGTAAAGATGTCGGTTTGGTGCAGTGACTGTTTTTAATGTAAACACCCCGTTCTTCCTCCTCCTCTTCCTCACTGCAGAACAGTGACATACACGTCATGATGGAAACAATGAGGTTCATGGTGCAGAACCTGAATCTGCTCCTCCACAGCCTGTTCATGTTTGGTTGGAGACCATAAAGCCATTGTTTGTTATTTTTGTGTCAAAACAGATTAAATGGAAAAATTCAGATCAGTTCTAACTGGAGCTCAGTGCGTCATTAATGAATAAATATCCCCATTGTTCATCAATTCCCTCAACTGCAAGAGGTTGTTTTGTCATCATTGTAAGCCTTTCAGTTTATCAAATCGTCAACTAATCTCAGGTTGTCCAACTCTTTATTTTTAGGAAAATAAAATGCAACATTTTAATTATTTTTGCCCATTTTTAACCTTACTCTACAGAACAAAAAAATAAATAAAATACACACACATTGTATTGTATAAACTTCTTGTCAATGGCAAGAACAAAGTGTACAGAGATGAAAATAATAATGGATTTTATTTGGCTTTCAAAACACCCAAGGACACTTTACAACATTTTAAACACAATTAAATGGTAAAAAAAAAATAGCCATAAAAACACAATACTACCAAAATAACTAAAAAGAGAGCAAAAACGTTTGCAGACGAGCATCGACTCAATGTGGACGACAAAATGAAAATGGTAGTACAAGCATCAACAATATAAAAATAACAGACTCAATAATTTAGGATTATTTTCTTTTGAGTGTTTCACAACAAGTTACAGTTAATTTCTGTTAGGACCTACGCGCTTCTGTTTCATGACTCATCTCTAGTGAGGCCTCATTTAGTGGAGATGAGTCACTGAGTCTGTTTCTGCTCTAGGTTTCCATCAGTGACCAACTCCTGAAGAATGGCAGCCATTCCAGCAGGCGGTTCCCTCGTCGCGACCACCGACTACTACCGAAGTGAGTCCGTCCGGCTCTGCTGGCCGTCTCACCGTATGTTTAATCACTAATAAACATTTACCTCCCCCTGCAGGGCGCATCAGCTCTACGTCCAGCAGCAGCTCATGCGGCAGTTCGGAGTTCAGTGGGGAGGTCATCCCGCACCATCCAGGTAAACGGCTTCAAATGTGGCTTAAAGCTGCAGGTTAACGTTTATAAAGAAGCTTTGTTTTTTTAGTTAACTCACCATGTTATGACAGAATGAAACGGATAATCTGAAATGATCCACCTCCTCCATGAGCTACTATTGCTGTCAGGAGGAAGGGCTTAGCGCTGTCAATCATCCTCATGTTTTCACTTCTATAGATAATGGCAGAGAAAGAACTCAACTGTTACAAGTAGCTATGCTAACTAGCCTTAGCATTCACAACAAGATCTGCTAGTTGTGGCTTAGAGAGCAATGGGGTAAAAGGGAGATGATTGACAGCACTGAGTCCCGCCTCCTGGCTCTGATTGGCTGGTTCTATTAGCGCTGAGAGGAGGAATCATTCTTTTGTCTTGTTTCTTTCCACATTTTGTCTCATACCATTCTGTCATGACATCAACAAACATACAAAAAAAAAAGTTTAAAGAGTTTTAACTGCAAGGGAGTTACAGATATTTAAACTTTCACCTAGAAACCAACATTCCCACATGTTGGGGTTTCTCTGCTAACGTTACATCAGTTTCTACTGCTGTTGCCACAGAGGATTGAGTCATTTCTGCTCGGTTGTAATTATGCCTGGAGGTTTTTCTTAAAGCAGCTGCACCATCCAGCTCACTTCCTACTGGTGAGAAACATGCAGCATACGTTTAGATCCAGAGTCTGAGCAGGAGCTGCTCCCTGAGCTGCTCAGTCATCCTGACTCGGCTCAGCAGCTGGTTGCGCCACGCAGAGCAGGGTGGGTTTCTCTGGTTCCGCTGCTTAACTGCTGCTTTGTCTCTCCAGGACTCCCTAAGCAGGATTCTGGCCATTGGTGGTCCAGCTTCTTCTTTGGGAAGCAGCCGGGGATGACGCCGCTCACCGAGGAGGCGCAGCAGAAGTAAGTCTGAAGCCGCCTGAGCCTTCCTGTGATATAGGTTCGTTTTTCTGACCTCCACCTCTGCCAGGGCGGGGGTCTCGGGCGGCGTGACGACCGGTCAGATCACCTGCATCGCCAAGGAGATGATGCTGCAGCGGCAGGCGAGCGAAAGCAGCGAGGCAGGAAGTCCCAACTCCCCGTGATCCTGCCACTGTTCAGCCCCGGCCAGGGGAGAACCGGACCAACCGCCAACGCTAGGCGACGGAGATCATCCCATTTACAACTTCTTTTGTTTTTTTATTTTTTAATAAATATTTGTGGTAGTAATGGCTGCGTTTTTTTTTTCAATTTTTTAACATTTTTTTAATGACTAAAAAACAACAAAAAAGAGAAACTGAGCTCGTTACCATTTGTAACGTTTTGCTTTGTAACACCGTCGCATTGACACCGTGGTGCACACCTTCATGTTTTTGTTACCCTTATTGTCTCCTTGTTATATTGCAAACAGAATAAAGTAGTCTGTTGCAGCCAACGCCGCTTCGGTGTCCATGTCTGTCCGAACTCTGAGCTGCAGCGGAGAATCATAAAAAAAAACAGAATTTAAAGTTTCTGGATCATCTGGGCGAAACTTATGATTCATTTAGTTCAGTAAACTATTCAGATTAAAATTTCTAAGGAAACAACTTTCACTTCCTGGACAAGCAAGAGTGGAGAGGAAAAACTCCCTTTAAATAAAAACAAGCCGTTGAAACAACAGCAAATGATGTAAAGTGGAGAGTAGTAAGAGGGAAACGGTCAGTTTGTCCTGCAGCAGGTTATCAGTGCAGCTCATGTGGATCCATCTTACACAACAGTTATGTGCAGGTATCCAGTACAAATATTTAATTTATTATTTTTACCAATGGCTTAAAAAAAGTGGTCTGTTTGTAGACGGTGTTCAGACGGCTTTTCCAGTGACGAACAGAGTTTGAATAACCTTTAGGAGGAGAGGGAGTGTTGGCTGGCTTTGGTCCAGGAACTGCAAACAATGAAAAGCAGAACTTCCTGCTGGGGCTGAACTCAGCGACTCCACGTTGTGTAACTGACTCACACAACGCTCCAGATTGTATCGGATATCTGTGCTTATTGAAAAAATGAATTAAAAACTGCAGCAACAGCAGATTTAAAATAAACTAGATATCTAATTTATTGTAAATCTGCTGTCACTGCAGTTTTGTATCAAACTCCAGCCTTGGCATTTCTGCGTATGTGCAGAGTCTGCAGGAAGATGCAGCCAATCTGGTGAATATGAAAATGGCTACAGGAAACACCCTGAAAAAGTTCAAATAATGTAGCTAAAATCAAGGCCTTAAAATGTCTTGGATTCTGTTTTTTTTTTAATTAAAGTTGATCATACAGTTAATACTGTTCCCAAAATTTATTGTTGCAAAATTATGAAATCTTGTGGCAAATCTATGTAGTTTTTTTCTTCTTCTTTTTCTCTGAACTTTCTGTAGTTGTAGTTTGGCCTCCATTTATCTTCATTGCGTTCCCACTGGAGGCGGTTCAGGCTATTGCTAACTAATGCTAACTAATGCTAACTAGTTGGTTTGGTGTTTTTTTGACCAGTCCTAATTTATCGCAGGTTTGTAGTCTTTCATACATTTCTGTTGCGATATATATGTTGTGATGCTCCCTTTTTTCTTACATTTTATTCATAACGGTTTTCTAATTAACAGCAGCAGTTAGAAATACATCTTGACTTGCTAAACAACTATATTAAAGTCTGAGGTTTTATGTGGTGAAACCTGCGTCCAACTATTTTACTGCTTTTTAAAAAAAGCTTGAAACTCAATCGGGTCTGGTTTTGGGTCTGGTTCTGGGTCTGGTGGTTCTGGGTCTGGTTCTGGGTCTGGTTCTGGGTCTGGTCTGGGTCTGGGTCTGGGTCTGGTCTGGTTCTGGTTCTGGTTCTGGGTCTGGTTCTGGGTTTGTGTCTGGTGGTTCTGGGTCTGGTTCTGGTCTGGGTCTGGGTCTGGTTCTGGTCTGGTTCTGGTTCTGGGTCTGGTTCGGTTGTACTTTGGATCACATACCCTCCCTGGTCTCTACCTCCTGATTCACTAGGATCTTAATTAATCTCTGCATTTCTCAATCCAACCATTTCATGACTCATGAGTGAGTTGCACAGTTTTGAAATAATTTCTGTGAACATTTTAATTTTGATTGGCCATCAGATGTGATCTAATCTGGACTTCCTGTGCAGATTTTCTACAAGCTGTAAGAAACCATAAAATAATTGAATGAATTTACAATAATTAATTCATTATTGATGAAAATTCATTTCCATTTTCAGTTGAGTTTGACATATTTACAAGCAAATTTTACTGTTATAGAAAAGTTCACAAAGAAAAATATTACACACAGATGAATGTTCTGAAGCATTTTATGTATCCATTTATATACAATTCAAATTGAATTAAAAAAATAATTATTAATTAGTGCTAAAGGAAAAATCAAATGTTGCTGTACATTCAGGGGGTCAGAAGATTTCTGATTAACTAGACAAATCCAACCTTTTCATACACATTAACATGATCCAACATGTAATACATTGATAAAAGTAGGAATAAAATAACATATTTCAGTCAGAAAATCACTTTCAGAGAACAAAGATCTGTTTGTTGTGTTAAAAGTTTAGCATTTTATGCAAAGTGACAAGTTTTTTTAGGAGTGTCAGGCTAAAAAATGCTCAGATTGATAATTATCCAATTATTTTCTATTCTTACTGGATTTCTGTCATGTTTGGCTTCATGCAGCATCTCGCATAATTAGAAAAAAATAACTTGTTTTAATTTAGAAAATGATTTAGTTTGTTTATAGAACGTTTCATCTCAGCTTTCAGCAACATGTGAATCAGCACTGAATTAATCAACTTTATCTGCATTATGCGATGATAAAGGAGAAAAAATATTTGTTTTCAAATGAACATACATTTTTGTTTTAACTTGGAGAAAAGCATTGGGACCTGCAGACTCAAACTGTGAATCAATGTGACGAATCCTGACGCACGGATTTCTCCAAATGAGTGTAAAATAGGCTTATGTAAGCAGAGCTGTCCTCCATTCAGAGGAAAAACCAACAGAGAGCGAAGCGCCGGCTCTGCCTGATGAAGCTGAAAGAGGTTTTTCTTTGCGCCGCGTTTGTTCTTCCACGCTGCAGTTTTTCTAGTTCACTGGCTGCACAAAAAGCCGCCGACTTTGACCTCCATCTCTGAGCGACTAGGTTCCCCTCGGTTCAGGTTTTACTGTAACCGTCAGTAAAAAAATACATATTAAATGTTTTTAAACAGTTTTACATGTTTCTGTTGTAAAGGAAAGAGGGAAAAGCTGTTCCTTTGGGTTCTGAAGGTTTAATTAGTGATTAAATTAACTTTTTAATCTCCACTGTTGAGCTTCACAACTTCTGAACCAAATAATGAAACCAATTAAATTAATCACAATCAATCGATTAATCGCCAACTGGAGTAAACAAACTCCAGGAAGTGACAGAAATGACAAAAATGTAGGATTAAGAATCTTTGTCAAAAGTGAAACATTTTATACTTTGGAAACTCAGAAAATTTTTAGATATTTTTCTCTTACATAACTTAAAATGTTTGACTTTTCAAACCTGTGATTTTCTACAATTAATCTAAGTCTTTTTATCATTTTTCTTTTTTTTAAATTATATTCCTCAGAAATTTCCTTTTTTACTCTCGTATTAATCTAAAAAATTTTGTGATTATTCTCAAAATTTCTGAATTTCTTTCTTTCAAAAATGTAACATTTGAAACTCAGAAATTTCCAAGTTTTCTTAGAAAATTTTCAACTTTTGAAATGATAAATTTTTCAAGTTTTTCCCAGAAAACTTATGAGATTAATCTAAAAATGTCTGACATTTTTGGGCAGAAATTTATCCATTTTTTTTAGTGGTTCTAATAGTCGTTTGTAAGTATCTATCGTATCGTAAATGAAAAAAGATTGGTGCATCTCTTGACACACTGCACTAAAGGAATGCTGCATCAATGCACTGTAGACATTAAATGTTTATTTTCTTATTTAAAAAAATAAGTTTAATTATTTATTTGTGTTTCTTACATGTTTTAAAATTATGCAAAATAAATTTTGGTGGTTAAATGAAAAATTTGCCGATTGTTCCAGTTATTGTTTTATGCTGCCAGCGTTTTAAAGATATTAATGAAAATTTTCCAGAGGTGATCATCAACAGTTCAAAGCAAAAGCAATGAAACTTTCTGTCTGCTGGACGGTTTCTCTCAGTCTTTCGTTTGCTTCGTCTACTTGAAGTGTTGGTCTGCCGGGTTGGCCGGTTTGGCGCCGGGAGACGACGGCGAACCAACAGCGATCTCCATCAGCAACCCTTTGCTTCCTGTGGCAACCGGGAAGAAATATAATTACACCAGAAATATGTTGTCACCCAAACTCAGATGACCACTGACTAATTAACATTTTCTGTAATGGAAAATATTCAGTAGAACTCAAATTGTTCTCTTTTAATAACCATAAGTCTCATAAATGGGGTCACATTTATCATCTGACAGATTTGATAAATTTGCTTTCATTTATTAAACCAGCAAGCAGGATGAGAATAAGCAAAATGTCTTTCTTTATATTTTCAATTTGAGCCCAAAATAATTTAGGGTTAGGGGTAAGGTTAGGGTTAGGGTTATGTAATACAATAATTTAAGTTTCCCTTTTCCCTAAAAAACCTGACTCAGACATTTCTGGGGGTTTTCTAGAAAATTTCTCAAATTAATTTAAGAATTCCAGATTTTTCTAGCAAACTTTCCAAACAGAAAATTTCAAGTTTTTCTGTAAAACATTATTTAACTTTTCAAACCCAGACATTTTGACGTCTTTTTGTTGAAATGTCTGAAAGTAATCAAAAAAGTTTTTTTTTACTTTAAATCTGTTAAACATTTTTAGTTTTCTAGAATTCTGACTTTTAAACTCTAAAAAGTTCAAGTTCTTTCAAGAAAACCTATAAGATAAATTTTAAAATTTTTTATATTTTTCTAGCTAATTGTTGACTTTCAAAGTTTTCTGTAGAAAATTTTGAAATGAATCTAAAATTTTGTATAACAAATTTCCAATGTTTGAAACTTTGAAATCTTCTTTTATGGAAAAAGATTTTGATTTTTAGCTCAGAATTTGAGTTTTTTTCTGAGATTTGTTTGAATTTTCAATTTCAGAAATGTTCAGGTTTTTTAGCATTTTTTTAATTTGACTTTCAAGCTCATAAATTTTAGTTTTTCTAGAAGATTTCTGAGGTCAACATCAAAGTTTCCGGGTTTTTAATGAAATTCACTCGTTTTTCTACCTATAATGGGCCTAGTAAGCCGTTGTTATGTTGCGCAATAAAAGGTGGGATTAAAATCGGCTTAAACAGAAGGGAATGTTTTACCAGGAGGAATTCCCGTCCTGATCCAGAGGAGGATCTGTGTCATGACAGAGTGGTTCTGCTGGGGCATCGGGTTCATCCCGTCTGGACTTGAGGGAACACCTGGAAATAAATCCGTCCACATTTTGTTACAAACTCGTTTTGCAGGCTCTGAGAATCCGAGCTTTAAAGTTTCCATCAGTCGTCGCTCTCATGCGCTGAACATGTGTGATCATGTGCTGCCGGAGTGAACGGGACCGGGACCAGAACGGAACCGGGGCCAGAACTTTATTTAATGTCAGTTCATGTGTCAGGCTGTCCCGGCTTGGCTTGCCTCTGTGAACCCGTTCATCCCCAGAATGAACCTGAACCTGTTCATTCCTGAAACAAGCTGCAAATTTTTCATTTAACCACCTAAGTTTATTTGGCATGATATTAAAAACATGTAAGAAACACAAATAAATAATAAAACTTATTTTTTTAATAAGGAAATAAACGTTTTATGTCTACAGTGCTGAACCTGAACCCGTTCAGAATGAACCTGAACCCGTTCAGAGTGAACCTGAACCCGTTCAGAATGAACCTGAACCCGTTCAGAATGAACCTGAACCCATTCAGAATGAACCTGAACCCGTTCATCACCAGAATGAACCTGAACCCGTTCAGAATGAACCTGAACCCGTCAGAATGAACCTGAACCCGCAGAATGAACCTGAACCCGTTCATCAGAATGAACCTGAACCCGTTCAGAATGAACCTGAACCCGTTCATCTCTAGAACGAACTGAACCGTTCAGAACGAACACTGAACCCGTTCAGAATGAAACTGAACCCGTTCAGAACGAACACTGAACCCGTTCAGAATGAACACTGAACCCGTTCAGAACGAACACTGAACCCGTTCAGAATGAACCTGAACCCGTTCATCTCTAGAACGAACCTGAACCCGTTCATCACCAGAATGAACCTGAACCCGTTCAGAATGAACCTGAACCCGTTCATCTCTAGAACGAACACTAAACCCGTTCAGAACGAACCTGAACCCGTTCAGAGTGAACCTGAACCCGTTCAGAATGAACCTCAACCCGTTCAGAATGAACACTGAACCCGTTCAGAACGAACCTGAACCCGTTCAGAACGAACACTAAACCCGTTCAGAATGAACCTGAACCCTGAACCCGTTCAGAACGAACCTGAACCCGTTCAGAGTGAACCTGAACCCGTTCAGAGTGAACCTGAACCCGTTCAGAGGAACCTGAACCCGTTCAGAATGAACCTGAACCCGTTCAGATGAACCTGCATCTGCTCCGTCTAGCTTCTGTTTCTGTGTTTCTATGTAAACAGAGTGAAACATGTCCAAGTTTCCATTTAGGTCACTTCCAGGTGAATATTCCAGAACTTCTAGTTTCTCTGTTTCTGCTGGGACAATGTGTGCTGGTATGGGGTAACTGGGCCTGCATGGTTGAAATGAGCGAAACCAGTTTGGTTTGAAGTTGTTCTCTTCAGACCTACAGAGGAACGATGGAGTCAGCGAACAGCTTCAGAAGCCAGAGATCAGTTGAACATTTAGAGTCACATAAAGACGGTTTCAAAGTCCTTCAGTGGTTCTGGGTGCAGCGCCCCGCAGGCCCGGAGGGGAACAGGAAAGAGAACCACAGCAGCTGGAGGTGGAGCAGATGTTGCCATTTTAATCCCTGATTGATTGGTTACAACAAGCTGTGCTGTTGTAAGAAGATTGAACTGCAGTATTATCTTGACTGAATTTAAAGCTGCTGCAAGCCGTGTTTGTGTCTGGGTTTGTCGTACTTCTGTAGAAGTGGTTCCGGCGAGCAGGCATGCTGGAGAGTTGACGCTGGTCATGATGCTGCAGACATTCACAGACTGATGGACCTACCGGGTCAGCACCCTGAAGACGGAGAGAGACAGAGAGAATGTTGAAGATCAGCAGGCCGCCATGACAGAGATTATGTTCCTCAGTGATTCCCATCATCATCATCATAGACAAATCTGGAAATACAGCAGGTCTATTATTTTATATGTGGTGGCATCCAAAGGGGCGCTGAGTGTCTCTGCTGCCTCCTCCAGCTCGCTCAGCGACTGAAAGTACGATGGCCACCACGCCAGGAAATGCCTAAAAACGCAAAAACTACCGAAATGCAGAATTTTGTTTTCTGCAGAAAATTTCACTAATGAGTAAAAGCACAGAGACATGCAGAAAACGCAAAAAGACACAGAAAACAATAAAACACAGGAAATGTGGAAACACAAATAGGTGCAGAAAATGCAAAGAAAACAACAAAACAGAGAAAAAATGCTGAAGCTTTCAGAAAAATGTGAAACACAGAGAAAACAGTAAAATACACAGAAACTCAGAAATGTGCAGAAAACGACAAAATGCAAAGATAATGCTGAAATGTACAAAAAATGCAAAACACACAGATAATCAAAGAAAACGCAGAAGCACATAGAAAACTGACGTGCATTAAATGATGAGATGATGAGTTATTATGGGAAAAATGTCATGTTGCATGCAGATTATCCTTTTATAACTCAACGTTTACATCAATATTAATGAATTATTGACATTCTCCCACTTCTTGCTGCAGTTACTTTTAGTTTTGTCTCATTTCATGTGAACTGAAACAGAAAACTAAAAGAATTTGGCAATATTTGATGTTTTTGTGAGGTGGTGATGTGGAACGGAGAACGTGTTCAGGGCAGGAAGCGCTGATCTGATCTCACCTGAAAGTCCAAACAGAGGCACAGATTCGTTCCAACTCAAACAGTTTGATCTCCTGTTGCTATTATTAGCTGCAGCGCCGTTTATTTTTCGCTGTTTGTTGTTCTGATCTTTCTGTGGACTGGACCGCACGCAGCGAATGCATGACTGAACAAAAACATCCACTTCTTCAGCATTCTCCAACATTTGCAGGAATGTCAGTGAGGAACTGCAGACCTGGGGTCAAAGTTCACAAAGTTTTCTGTTTGCGTAGGTTGGTCAGACAATCAGTGCAGAGCAGTCGGATTTAGATAAGGAACTTTTTTGGTAACAGATAAAAACGTTTGTTTTGGTGACAAATTGTGATTATTTTAGAGGTATTTCACCTTTTCATTAAAAAACACTTTTATTAACCTCCAAAATTTATATTTTTACTTTGGAGTGAGAAAACAAGTTCTGTAGCAACATAGTTGAAATAAAACGAAAATGAAGTGATAAATTAGGAAAATTAAATAATTTCCTACACAAAAAATATTAAAGAAATTTAAGTGGAGAAATTTGAGCATCTGGTTTCGGTTTTATAAGTAAATACTTCATTTTTTAAGACATTAGTATGAAATTGTTGTCAGTGGCAGAACTTTAAACCATTATGTAAAGAACTATTTTGAAGTAAGAATCACATGGATTTGCCAAACTGATCATGCCAGATCGTTTTTCTCATTAAAACACTTTTTTCTTGAAATTTTCTGACTTTTTTCTAGTTATATTGTTTTGCTTCTGCTGATGTGAAGACTTCACATATTAAATTTCACTCTAATTATTATTATTTTATTCTTGTAATGTTAAAAAAGACTTGTGGGAACTTTATCGATACATGGTTCCTACAGGTCCAACCTGGAAGTGGTCAGCGCCATCTTGATAGGCAACGCAAAGCCCAGAGCCTGAGATGAACCATTTCATCGAGACCAACAAAAAAAAGTATATTGACTCTTCACCAATGTGCAAGAGAAAATTATATCAACAAAATGGCTGCTGTTGAGATCATGTTTGCTAATAGATTTCTAATATTAGCAAAAAAATTAGCATCAAAATTGCCTCCAATACACAAGTTGGCCCTGATACCGATTGTTTTTGTCTGTAAAGTAACTAAATATAGCCACAAAAATTGATGTCCTGGTGAGACCTACATCTGAAAGCACTGAAGGTCAGAGGTCACTGGGTTGAAATAGAAACTTTTTTCCATTGGCGTGAGAGAACAGAACCATAACAGCTGTTTCATATCAACACTCGGCTGTCACTGTCCTCCTTCCTGCTGCACATTTTCACTTTGGTGATAAAACACAACATGTTTCATTTGAAATGATTAAATGTTTCTGCAGCTGAAGCTTCAGATCCTAAACCACCAGAACTGGACCCAAAACCGAAGCTTGAAGCTGAATATTATGAATATAACTAAATATTTAGTTGGAGCTAAACATTTAGCTTGCTGGTGAAATATTTAGCTTGGAGCTAAATAATTAGCTTACAACTAAATATTTAGTAGCTAAATATTTCTGGCAAATTATTTAGATTAACTTGGAGCTAAATATTAAGTTTGCAAACTAAATATGTGGATTGTTGGTGAATATTTAGCTTGCTGGTGAACTTTTTACCTTAACATGGAGCTAAATATTTATCTTCAACTAAATGTGAAATAAACTTATTTAGTATGGAGTTTAATATCTGTTTAGCTAGCCAAACATTTAGCTTTAGTTGGAGCTAAATATTTAGTTTGGAGGGACACATTTAGCTAGTTGACTAAATATTTAGCTAGTTGACTAAATATTTAGCTAGGCAGTATGGTTACTATGGATGAGAGACGTTGCTGATCATTTAATCTCTCTGATCCCTTATTGCTGATTTTCCTGCTACTTCGGCCGTAAGAAATGTTAACAGTGTATGTGTGCCTGCAGAACCAAAACTAATTTTTAATTAATTGTAGTTTTTTAAGTAAGGGCAGTAAATAGTAACTTGATACATGCTGTTAAACATTTATTAAGATAGTTGCAGCAAAAAACACAAGACATGCCAGAGAAACAAGTTTGCGGTAATCCGTGTTTCGGCACAAATCCCAAGATTTGCTCAGTCAGCAAACAGCAAAGCAATTAAGTCTGAGAAAGAAGCCGGGCAAGAAAAAGGAGCCGTAAACCCTTCGACCTCCAATCAAATCTCACTGAACATGAAGTCAGACAGTAAACTGTTCACCATTCACCGACCAAATCAGATTTGGTCTGGAAAAATCCTGGAAAAATGACAAGAATTTTCTGGAGCTGTGATGCATTTTTCAGCTTCTGCACATAAAAACCAAAACCGGTAAATTAAAATACGGAGAACATGATCTGCTTCTCGCAGCTCTTTCTCCTCTTCTCTGAAAGGAAACTAAAACATGTTGGCAACAACAAATCTGTCCGTGAATCCATGGAAAGTTAACAAGATCAGGTCCAAAATGCTGCAGAAGTACGGAGATAAATAAAGGTCATAAAGTTTGTTCAAAAACTTTATTTGGTCTTCAAATCTTTACTTTCAGCTTCTAAAAAACTTATTTTAGTTAATTCAGATTCTAAACATTTTCGTCAGTTTTGATTTTTTTTTCCGTTTTTGAATGTTTCTTCCAGTTTTAAACCTTTTTTTTTTCACTTAATTTTTCTTGTTTCAAAACTTTCTTTTTTCTATTTCAAACATTCTTTCCCAGTTTCAGAATAATTTTTCAGTTTCAAGTATTTTTTTTTTCAGCTTAAATTTGTGTTTCTTTTGCACAAACTTCATGGCCCCAATTTAGCTCCATTGATTCTCATTTAAAATGCTGTAAATGTTTTTTTATTTTCTGACCTCTGACTGAAATCACCCAGCGGGGTTTTGATCATTTTAAAAGTTCGGCTTATGAAGCTGATAAGGTCTATAAAACATAACTGGGGTTAAAGGTCGGTGGAAAACGGTGCCTGTTTTAGTTCGAGGGGATATAAAGTTTAGCTGCTTGTTTCTGTTAGTTTGAATATTGCATCACACTGACTGTGATGCTTCTTCTTTAACTCAACACTTTGGCTGCCAAGACATTTGCAACAGGAGACGCTGCTGCTTCAGGCGGCTGCAAACCAAGAACTGGATGAGTAAAAAATAAATTCTAGGTCAGATACACTTCTGCCTCCAGATGCAATTTGCTTTTATCATAATACTTCTCTATTTTTATTTTCTGTAAAGCAAAAAGCACAGAAACATTATGTTAACTCCTGCAGTTAAATTTCCACCACCACAACAGAATCACCGGCAAAGAGAGAAACAATTCCCACCTTTTCAGGCAGTTTTCTGGGATCCTGCAGGACAGGAAGAAACGCCTCCAGAGGAAACAAAAGAAAGAGCTAAAATCTGAAATCTAAGCTCCGCAGGTCAGTGAGGATCAGCAGGAAGATGCAGAATCTTGAGGAAAGCTGGTTATTTTCTGCCTGGGTGTTTTATTTTTCCTCCCTGGAGCAGTGAGGTGTGTCTCCTCCCCTCCCACAACACCGACTCAGACATGATCAGGAGGCCGGACGCTTTTCACGCAGCTCTTTCTCGTCTTCTTGAACCTCTGAGTTTCGCTCACAGCAGTGCTGCTCAGTCCTGGAGGAGCTAAAAGAGCCAAAACACAAAACTCTCAGATCATCCCTCTGAACCCAAACAATGGCATGGAAACGTGTCATTAGTTCATATGATTTTAAAGATTACTGCAACAATAAACATGGCTGCCGTTTGTGAAGTCAAAAAATAAAGAAATGATTGAGAAAAAAAAATAGGGCCAAATTTTCACCGTCCCAGTTTCAAACTAAATATTTAGCCTCAAACTAAACAGCAGAGCAAAATATTTAGTTTAAGGCTAAGTGCTTAGCTTCTTAACTAAATATTTACCCTGTTAACTAAATATTTAACTTCAAACTAAATATTTGATTTGAGGCTAAATATTAGCTTTCTACTTAAATATTTACCTTCAAAGTAAATATTTAGCTTGTTAACTATTTAAATTCAAACCAGCTATTTAGTTTGAAGCTAACTTACTAACTAAATATTTAGTTTGTAGCTAAATGTTTAGTTTGGGACTAAATATTTAGTTTGTAGTTAAATGTTTAGTTTGGGACTAAATATTTAGTTTGTAGTTAAATGTTTAGTTTGGGACTAAATATTTAGTTTGTAGCTAAATGTTTAGTTTGGGACTAAATATTTAGTTTGTAGCTAAATGTTTAGTTTGGGGCTAAATATTTAGTTTGTAGCTAAATGTTTAGTTTGGGGCTAAATATTTAGTTTGTAGCTAAATGTTTAGTTTGGGACTAAATATTTAGTTTGTAGCTAAATGTTTAGTTTGGGACTAAATATTTAGTTTGTAGCTAAATGTTTAATTTGGGACTAAGTATTTAGTTTGTAGCTAAATGTTTAGTTTGGGACTAAATATTTAGTTTGTAGCTAAATGTTTAGTTTGGGACTAAATATTTAGTTTGTAGCTAAATGTTTAGTTTGGGACTAAATATTTAGTTTGTAGTTAAATGTTTAGTTTGGGACTAAATATTTAGTTTGTAGCTAAATGTTTAATTTGGGACTAAGTATTTAGTTTGTAGCTAAATGTTTAATTTGGGACTAAGTATTTAGTTTGTAGCTAAATGTTTAGTTTGGGACTAAATATTTAGCTTATTTGCAGGATGAATGGATGGCTAGATGGAATTTGAAGCTACATATGTAGTTTGCTAACTAAACAGTTGGTTTACAAACTAAATATTTAGCTTGTTAATTAAATAATACTTTAGTGACATTTATGTACAAATAAAAAACATGGTAAAAATATAACTGTCCGAAAAGACAGCATTTTGCCCAAGTGAACCAAATTATTGCTTAGTTTTTGAGTGTTTAACTTCACAAACTGACTGCATTAATGTTAAAACCATCACTTTGTGATAGTTTTACACACAAAGTGTAAACAACAACAACAAACGAACATTTCCTGGTTTTCTGTTGCGTTATATTTCAAACAAAGATAAATTATTGTGTGAACAACAAAAACTCAGGACCATTTAAACAGTGAGAGTTTAACCGGAGCTCAGTACTACAGAATAACTGCTGTGTAGTATTCAGGTCAACATGAAGCTGCTCTGTCCTGCTAATGTGTTTAGTCTGCTCAAAGGTCACGCT